ACGTTAGGCAGAGCAGTACTTTGAGCTAAGTACCTAGCTTATCAATACTTATCAATAATCCATTCTATGAAGTGAACAAAGTACTCAAACATTATTCTAACAGATGTTGTGTTCAAGGTCGCCTGCAGTGAATGTGGTGGGTCAACCAAACTATTTTCAAAGACTAGTAAGTAACAAGAGCATTTACAGAAGGTGCAGTAGTGTTCCCTGATTGAGGTGATTTGGTATTAAATGCACAATCCAGTGCTGTCTCAGTGTCCCATTGCTTCCTCTAGCCTCCCCCTCACACTAAGCAATAGGCTGCTCTCCAGCCTCTAATCCTTAAATGTTGGTCCATTCAATCTAAAACACTAGCCATGAATACATTCCTTTATGTCTTTTAACAGCTTCAAGGTTAATGCCAAAAATTGACACGGATAACCTGTTATTCACTTTCATTTCCACATTGAAATAGAAGCTGATGTGTTTAACCTTTGGAGTCTGTATTTAACAGATATTCAAGCAGCAGGGGTGAGTCTGGGTTCACTTGTATTGCATGAAAAGCAATGGTGGCATTTATGGAGTGGTATATTAATTTATATTGAAGAGCCACTTTCAATTTAAAGCTTTTTAAACAGTTAACAAGGTTTATCAAATGACTCATTCAAGGAATCTGGTGAGAAACCACTAATGCAGTAACATAATGATAACACAAAGTAGACAAACAGATACTTTGCATGTCCTTGGCAGCATACAACTGATTTCCCTCACTTTATTTTAATGACTAGATAGCTGCCCAAAATTCATCTGTTCAATCTGGCGAATTGTCTCCAATACAGAATGCTTTCCTTTGGGGAACACATCAAGGCTAGATCTTAAAAAGCTTCTCTCCACCTCTGAAATACCTCCAGGATTAGTCATCTCCTCTCGTTTAGGTGACCTAGAAAAACTGGCCCATGCTTTTGTTTCCCAGAACCGTGTACTGCAATGCTCAATACTCCGGGGCTGTCCTGCTCCACACTCAAAACAACAGATCCGACTCATTCTCAAAACCAGAAAACACGATCGCACGACCCTGACCTACTGTAGATTTGCCTTCGTTGGCTCAGAATACCAGAACTCTTTGTTTTCAAAGCCCAAATATACTCTTTTAAAAATCCCGAAAACAACGCGCCCCCTCAGTACATTATACATTTACCTGATCTGTAAACCTGGTGCAGCTCTCCGCTTGCTGATGCAGCAGTTATTCTCCCAACTCAAAAGACAAACCGAGCCACCCACTCACTCCCAGAGGGTGCCCTGCCTCTTGGAAATGGGCGCACATTTCAGCAAATCAGACCACTCATTATTGAAGTCCACAGTCAAGGCCGACTTATTTAGTGCTGCCAACTATCCACATTTGCTCACTGTACTGTATAATCGCCGGTCTTGTCCTCTGATTCCTTCCCCTGCTTAGAGGGCCTCAGAGCTCCGAGAGCTGATCTGTGACCAGCGCTTTATTCCTGAGGATATCATGCAACCCCGTTCAGGGGCTCTGCAACAAAATGTAGACTCATTCACAGAATGACATGTTAAAGTATCTGTCTAAATGTACAATGTAAATCTAAATGTACAATGTAAACAGAAAATATGAAAGAAAAGCTATTGCTTTATACACTACATACATCACAGATGTAAACATACTGTATGTAATCCACATTGCGATGTATATTTACAGACTTGCAGCGCGTTTGTACAAGATGATACTAAGTCGTCTGTTCTGTATTGTGATGCTTCCTGAGGGCTGATCAGCCTGACATTTTTTTCGAGGCTGGAGTGTGGAAAATCTTGAAAGGCAATGCTGGAAGTCTTTATGCAGTGTTCATGTGCAGACGGAGACAGATTACGCAGCGTAGCCTGGGGCCACAGCCTTGCCTGGTTAATGATCAGTGAAATCCTGACATCATCTAAAACTGCCGAATGCAATGCAGAAATTTAAGAAATTTGATACGTCGATGCTTCGTTTCCACATCTGTAGATTGATTGCATTACAAAAGCATAAGTGTGTATGGACGACAGGTATTTTTGCCTTTTGACAGCAGACAGAAAACACCTGATGTGACCTCACTAACAAAACATTACCGCAAGTGGGTTGCCATGTCCTGTGCAGCCATCATGTGTGCCACTGACTGTCCTCTGTGCCGTTGATTCATGATGTTGCCAAGTGGAGAATGAGGAGAGGATAAAAAATTGGGTCTAGAATTGAGACCTGAGAGACCCCAAAGGTGATATCTGCTGAAAATGATAAAGCACTGTCTATTGTAATAAGGGAAAAAAAAAGCTAACACAAAGCAAGTCTAACACAATATTGTCAGCATCTTAAAAATGGCAGAAAAGGTGTCTTTTGAATAGACTGTGGCACAGTTTTAAACAAGGGGGAGCATTTGTACAATTAGTAATGTGTAAAGACTAAAGTATAAAGCCTGGGTTCTTGGCAATAATACATTATATTAGTAATTGTTTACTCAGTGCGCCAAATGACTGTCAAAAGAACAACCATTTAATATTCTAATCTAAAATAATATCAATAAATATCTGCTATTTTGTAACTCCAAATAGCCTGACTGCCATGGACCGATCATGAGACAACGGGCCCCTAGACATGTAAAAGGTTATTCTGTGTCTTTTCCTGATGAACGTTGTGTTTGTTTTGTAGTTGTTTTGCAACTCTTTGTGAATTCTGCATCTGTTTTTAGTCATTTTGAGTTTCGTTGTAGCCGTTTGAAGTCCAACAACAACTGTTGACGTGTCACTTCATACAGAGGTTCGCTGGACCCGGCAGGCCCGTTCAGTAATCCAAACATGCACCGCTGACGGATACATCCAAGTATTTTCCTCAAGATAAACAAACTATGTTAATGACTAAATATGAATGCTTCTAAAAAAAGAAACTGCAATTTTACAAGATATGCCTCTGAGGGGAAAATAGATCACACCAGTGTTAGATGGTTGTTGTATTAAAAAGTAGTTTAAGACAAGTGTCTGCCAGAGTCTGCAAAATTAGTTTTGTGCTAAATTTAAACCTCATCATCCTTCTTTGTAAGTGTCCCTGGTTCTAATGTCCAGTGCAGATGAGCTACGTATACAGTACATCAACAGAGAAGTAGGAGCCACATCATATTTTCTATTCACATGTCACCCAGAGCTGCGCTGATTGAAAACATGTTTGTGGGCTTCTAAATCAATCACTCAGTGTAGTTAATATGCAAATGTAGATGTAATTAAGTATTTAACTATCACTGAAATATGTAAGCTATACCTTCTTTGTATGTGTGTGTGTGTGTGTGTGTTAATAGCAGGGTAATTATACAAGCCCATTGATCACAATAATACAGCCATAATTTGATATTGACAAAATGTTGAAAATGGTCTCTGCATCTGGAAATCTGCCCAATAAAGGCAAACATACCGCCAAAAATGATCTTAAAAAGAAAAGAAATAGGGGCAGCAAACGGCAAAATGTGAAACACAAAATAAATACGTTTTTAATGTTTGTTTTATTTGTGAAATTTAAAATATTGCCGTCGCATTCAGAACCGGAACCAGGTTTTAGAGACGATGGCGAAGCAAAATGAAGTTGTTTGACTGTGGAGTTTTGTTCTGTTACTGTAATAAAACGTTTATTCCTTCATGTCACATATTCATTATTAAGGTAAAGTACAACAGCATCGTATCTGAATTACTCAAAACATAAGGGGACAAATGGCATGGCAACCATATTTTTTATTTTGGCAACCAAAAGCTTAAGGTTTAGTGTCGAGCCCTTCCAAGTTCAACAAATACAATTTGCACCAAATACGGTAATCCATCCAGAAGAAGTCATCAGAAATGAAGGGCATTTCACTAAATAATTGTAGCCCTTAAGTTATCGTGTAATGAGCAATAAATCATGAAATGGACTCAGTGTCACGCAACAAACAAATCATTTTCCAGAGAAGCTTATGTGTAGAGATTTGTGACAATAGCCACCTGGTGAGACCACACAAATCTCCAACTCAAAGTTTTCCAAAACCATTAATCTTGCTACGTCACACAGGCTGTCGAGCCAGCTCAGTGCTGAGCCAGAGAATCAACCCGGTGCTCAGGGCGGTCAATTAGAGCTGCATGATCAAATATGTCAAATGCTGCATAAGGTCCCAAGACAAAGCATGAACCGTCTCCGGCATCTGCTGTTTAAAGGAGGTCATTGGCGGCCCCGAAATGGAATTTATCCACAATCATGCCGTTTAACAAGAGAGTGCTTCGACTACAGACAACATTGGTTGTTGTAATACAATGTCATTATATAAATGTCATCTTTTCCTGCCGGTTAAAACTGCACCGCAGTCGATTCTGTCTTTTATAGCTGAGTAGTGAAATTAACAATATAAGGCCTAATGGCTTATACCTGCAAATCACATGAGAAATGACTTTTCAATGTGGTTGTACTACCCAGCACTGTTGGGCTAAAAGTATTACCCTAAACAATATTGCCATATGAGGTCAGTGCTTGTCTGTACTTTAAGGAACAGCCGTCTTAAGTAACTTTTTGGTGCCATAAATTCCCATTATATTTGAGAGAAGGCGGACATCTCTACGACTGATACCTCCAAAACTGGGCAACTCATGGCAAAACAATCTAGATTGTTAAATAGCACGACAGGCAACAGGAGAAATATACGTATTTTTGATATTGGGCTGAACTGTCCCTGTTAAACAAGATGTTTTTTTTCCGGAGGTAGTCAGAAGTGTTGCATGCATGACTTACTTTTTCTCTTTCGTAAAGCTAGAAACGGCAAAAAACATGAGAGAAGCTAGCCAAAATTAAATTCTATTATTCTGCAGAGAAGGTCCACACTCTGCACAATCCAAACTGACAAATGCTCTGCAAGTACTTCTGTCACAGTAAAGTAGTCGAAGAACACCGATGACCTGCATAGACGTGATGACTCATGAGGATGATTTAGGAGTCAGGAAGAAGTAGAAACATGAAACATGCTCACCATGTCTGTATCCGACACCGGCCCAAAACTCGTCACATAGATGTTTGTCCCCACTTCTGTCACACTCTCTGAGGAAAGAGACAACAAGGACCAAAAAAAAAAGACAACATTACAGTGAAATCTGTGTACAAAAAGCTTTGCAGCAGCTCCGTCTTTGTTAAGCTGATTGTTTGTGTACACGACGGTGACGTTTGCCGGTTGGCATTTAACTAAGCCGCTTCACACAGAAATTCGACTGTAATCAAGGGTTAGAGGAACGCTTTGAACTGAGGGAAGAAACTAGATTTATGTAGGACCTGTGATGAATTCGTGCTCCTGTTGGACGGCTTATCTGGATTCTTGCTGTCTTTGGGCATCATTTTGTCAAAATCGTGTCAACTTCGCTGTGCCACAGATTGCAGGTTTCAGAACATAATGCGGGACAAATAGTATAAGACATTTCCCAAAAATGCATTGCTAGACAGCATTGGTAATAGTACTCTCAAGTATTTGGCCCAGGAGGGTTTCTTCAATCTCAATTTAGGGGCAAAATGTTGCCGTGAGCAACTTCACAGATGCTTTTGAAAGTCTTTTAGTTGAGTAAAACTACCGTTTTGTTTGGCTAAAACTAGTTTTGTCCACCACAGCATAAAATCTGCTCTGGGCCTGGCCCCAGTCTGTGTCTTTGGAGAAAAGACATCCCTTTTGACCCAAAATGAATTTAGTTAGCCTGCCCCAAAATCATTTAACAGTCCCTAAGGGACTACTGGCCCAGGAATAATATGCAGCAGTCAGCGTTAAGGATGCAGCTCTGTGTGCATTTTATTTTTTTTTATAAATAATGGGCAGACTTTACTGCTATTACACAATTATATACACATTATAATCACATTAGGCATGTTGTAGTCTATTGTAGTCTGAATCTGGCATGACGGTTACAGGATTTGTCCTTCATGTATGTTCCCAGAGGTCCACTGTAGATCTTTAATCATAATCACATGTATCGTTGCATGTTGCGTCGCATTACAAGCTCCATTGCTGCTTTTGTTCCGTCACAACAATGATTAATGAATCACTCTCGATACTGCGAGATGTCCCAACTGATCATTATGTGGTAAATTAGCCAGGACTTTATTAATCGTCAGCTGTGAAATAATTGTTTCCAAATACTTCACAAATGATTTGAACGCAGCATTAAGTAGGGACGTGATATGATAGTCGTGACAGATCTAAAATGTGCCCTCTTCAGTGTGGGCTGAATCAGCTCCTCTGGGCTAAATGTGTGGAGCGGGCTTTTGGGCCATTGGTGAGACAAATAGCTGCTCCCAGTGGTGCAACAGCTAGAGAGTGATGAGGCCTTTCTCCAAAAGTGAATGGATCCTCGGCTCTAACTGTGTCCCAGATCTAACTTGACCACCCACAGGTGAAGTCTCCAATCCTCTGGCAAAGGGCCCCCTCGAGAGAAAGGGATCCACTTCCACATTAATCATTCCTGTGACACAAATAGCTCCCGCAAATGCATGATTATCACAACACCCAGTCAGCAGTTTGCATGGCGGGGGGGAAACAGAATGAGTTGCCCTCTTTCTGTTTACAACAAAGCACCAGAGCGTCGGGCAGAGCTAATGGATGGCGCTGAAAATTAAATGAAATTGGTTTTCTCCACTCTCGATCCGGTCCGTTGTCTCTGAGACGGTCCCACGTGACTGTTCCTCACAAGGATGCAACAGGAGGAGGAAGATTGGTAGCCTTGTTCATGTACACGCTGAAGCTGTTGACTTTGACCGAGTGTTCTGGCCATACTGAAGAGGAAACCCAACTGGTGTGTCTGTTTGCAGGTAGATGGTTGGATTATCGAAGACCTAAATCTAAACCGGAGGTCTTTCAATTGTAACGTTGCAATATATTCTGACAAAATGAGATGAAAGAAGATCTATCTGCGACACAAAATGACAGTTTCCATGCTGTTTAGCTATTCTAGGGAATAGATAGATAGATTTACACTTTAATGTTCCATAGTGTTGAGTACTGCTACCATTGTAGACAGTCTCTCGGTTTGTTTGTATCTGAAGACACAATACGTTTAATAAAAAACACAAGGCAACACTGATATTCTATAAAATATAGACATAAGATGATAATTCATGTTTCTGATGAATAAAAGAACCCTAAAGAAGAAATCATTTAAATGTGGCCAATCTTGCTGCTTAATAAATAAATCAAATAGCTATACAATATATAAGCCTTCATAGAAATGTTGTGAAATTCATCATATAGTGCATGCAACTGCATACATTCAAGTGAACACACGACAAAGCGCATGGCTGAGCATATGCTCATCTTTTAAAGTGATGATGAATAGCCTATGAATGAAGTGTAAGATTTCAACCAATAGGAAACGTTCTGGTCGTTCCAGTGCTTGTGGCTCATGCTGTTCTCGTGTTTCCTCTGGCCTGTAATGGTCTCTCGGGCCTGGTGGAAGAGCGTGTTGTGTTTCGCTGCACCACACAGGTCTCTACATTCAGTGTCTGCACTACAAAAGGAAAGCATCCCGACCGCGAGTGGCGCAGGCCTCTCGCTCTCCACGCCCTCGGAGATGTGAACCCCGGCACGGAGGCAGAATGTGACATTAACGGCTTGCGCCTGGTTCCTGTCTCCGGTTGCTGTCATGGAGACCAGGTCATCCGGCCTGGTGGGTCTGCAGCCTGATAGCCACGCTCGTGGCTTCAGCAGCAAGCAGCAGAGCAGAAAGGACCATTCCAGCTGGCTGGCTGAGAAATGGCAAAGCCTGCTTGAGCATGTGGACTTGCTGTTATGCAGCACCTTGGGGTGCGAATGTTTGGATAAAATGGCATCAATTAGAGGGATTTCCACTTACATGTGCTTATTTGCCATTTGGGCATTATAGAACAAAGACTTCCACCCAAGGGAAAGCAGATTTTCTGCACTATGCGACCTGACTTCAGTGTGATCCTGGTGTTGGTGTGCCATTTCCCTCCCCCCCCCTTAAACACTAAATTGAGCCTAGTCAGGAATTATACAGTATATTCTATCCTTTAAATGAGATGGAGAAATACTTACTGACCCGTTTGGTCAACAAAAGCCAGTACCTATAGATTCTACTGCTTGGATTTGTACATAAAAACAATTCATATTCTATGCGTTTTTGTATTGTTGACAGCAGCGTGTAGACTTGTGGCGACTGATGGACATTTTCCGACATCGCAATCATCTATATTCTTTTTTCCCAAAACAGTGACACAGTGATCAATCTGTGATGCATCAAACATTATGGTGTTGCTCACCTCCCAGCCCAGGACGTAATCTGTTGTCATATCCATCCAACAGCCTGTCTAGAATTCGGGTGAAAATGGTGATATTGTCTTTGCTGTCATCAGGCAACGGCTCTCTGTGTCCAACGACTGCCCTGCAGGAAGAAATGGAGACAGAAAGGTGGGATCAAAAGATGGAAATCATATCAAATGTAATAAAAAGTTAATATAAAAAGTCATATTTTGCCGCACTGAGAATGGCATGCAGCGTCCAGTGGTGTGAACGTCTGCTGTTTGTTTGTATTGAAAAGTCCATTTTACAGTAGACTTACAGGTTTAAATGTTTTTATTCACCACTATACAAAGATGTCTCAATGATTAATGAACACATTATTCATACCAACTTTCAGTATAAATGAATGTTATGAGAATTAAAGTCCACAATCACCTGTCTGTTTTAATATTTCTCTCGCAGTTGATCCGCCTCCAGCTTCAATCAATATTTGGATAAAACCGTCTGGTTGTGTTTGTTTTTGTTGTATTCGTCTTAACAAGCTGGAACCTCCATATTTACAAAAAATACAGTCAATTTATGGTAATAAATTCTTTCCCAAGAAGGAAATACTTTGCAGCATTTTGTTAGAGGATTCATCATATGCTATCAGCTCCTGGTTATTAATTTACATGGCCTCCAACCCCCTGCAGACCAATACTGTGGTGAGATGAAAAGGCCACTCTATCGTAGGTGGAACACTGATGAGTTAATGAGTAGCGTCTTTTAATTAAACCTAAATCCCCTGAGGAGCTGACCTATAATGTCCAAATAAACCCCATCAACAAGCGGTCCTGGTGCTGCTGATGCACAGCGTTGTGCTTCTTGGTAAAGACAGAGCTTTAAGGAATTTAGTGCTTGAAGAGTAACCCGAGTTGTCCCTGAATGTTTCTTAAAGGGAAGCGCTCAACAGCAAATCTGTCTTTGCTAGGCCTCTCAGAAGGGCTTTCTGAGACTTAATCTGTCCTATAATAACAACTCGACATAAGAGTCCATCTGAGCTACAACACCGTTAAAACACTGACTGAGTGAAGGTCACTACTTAAAGTGTATGCTACTGTAATTATTAGCGGTTTAGGGTGTTTGCTGTTCAGAGCACGCAAGAATGTCATTTTGAATGTCTTAAATTTTGAGGCATTTGGGAAAATGAGCTTATCCAAGTAGCTCTTACATGGGCGCATATGTGGTCAATAAATAAATATCAATTAAGCATCCCGGCTCCCTCATACTAAATGGACTTGTATTTCTATTTCTAGTCTTCCAAGCACTCAAAGCACTTTACACTACATGTTTATTGACCCATTCATACACCACAGGCACAGCCCACGGGAGCAATTTGTCTTCCCCGAGACACTCAACCCCAAGCTGGGGATCGAACCGTCGATCCTCTGATTTGAAGGACGACCCGCTCAACTCTAATCAAATTACCAATATAATAAAACTTTTTTTTTTGGTTCCCTAGTTAAAGTTATAATCCTCAACAGAAATGAAAACCCCAAGGACTGTGTGCTGTGCTAGTAAACCTTGCTTGCTGTTACCACTGTGACCACGGGGCCAATTCAACCAGGACTGATATCTTAAGAATTACAACTCGAAGAAGAAAGTACTAATGATTATCCTGATGATGTCAGATATTTCAGGCTCCGTATCTCCACTGAGACTAAGCTTTTTAACACTAAGCTCACGATTTTGCACCTCATTGAGTGGGGCACAGTTTGATATATTCTGGTTGTCAAGAGCATAATTAAGCTCTGCCAAAAGGGTTAGAATATGACAGTATAACAGTGTTGAAAGAAATATACATTGCTGGCTTTTCATTCACAAACCTTATCAAAAAGAGCCAGGCATGCGTGTTCCAGGCAGCTCAAACACACGAAAAACAGCAAATACAAAAAGCCTTCAGAAACGGCTGGCACAAGTTAAAATGAGTATCATCTCACTCAATAAGAATCACACATCAAGACGGAACCAGTGGAGTCACAAATGAATGAGAAACCTTTAGCCCCTGTGATACAATTCTAACAGTGTGTGTTCCACCCTAAAATATCCACTGCAGGAAAACTAAGTACTTGTGTGGTTTGTAGCATCTGTGTGCTTTACTGAAACACACGCTCTCTCTCTCTCTCTGAAGCACACACACATGCTAACATCTTCCAGTATCAGCCAGCTGTTCCAATACCCTGGTGAGGACAAAGCAATGGCACATTCCCTTTTGAATTTGATATCATTTTTAAATGCACAGGGTTTACAATCGAGCCAGCCGCTTGTTTTACTTCCTCGGTCCTCTTCATTATTCTCACTATACCTTACGCCTAATGAGGAAAGACAAGGCGAGAACAGTCATTATATTCCTCAACTGCTCACGCGTAAAGAAAAATATTTAACGAAAGCAAACTCTGTGCCAGAGACTGACATTGTTGAACGTTTGTGTGAGTTTTGCCTGAAGGAGAACAAGTTCTAACAGGAGCAGAGAAGGTAACGGTGCTGTAGGTGTAAACACCGGAGATGTAAAGGCAGACTTGCACCGCCGTGTATCTACTCTCATTTCAATGTGATGCTAAATTTGACATCCTGCATCCATGAAATATTTATATACTAGTCATGGGTTTAGCTCATAGATAATGTTCATTTTTATAACATGCTGTCTGATGGCATAACACTGTATTCAGTGTGCCCCACATGAGAGGACTGATATGTCTTCACCAATGCTGAGTGAGGCAAGCCTGGAAATGTATTTATTTTGTTTCTAAGCAACAACATTGTAAGAAATGATTCACTCCAAAACTGCACACGTGGTAGTAAAGTGATATATCAAGGTGATATTTACTGTTGGTGTTGGTGCACCAGTTAAGGTGGGGAATCTAACACCTTTATGATTCTTACAGGCTGGTTTTCACAGCAGACATTTAAGCTCAGGTGTAGCTAATACTCAATTTTCTGAAGGAATTGCAGTGTGAAAGCTGGATGTTGAAAAGCTGAAAGTAAACTGCTTTGCTGGCTTTAAAAGTTGAATAATATCAGACATGTATGAAAGACGTGGAATGTGTTATGGTTCGTTGAAAAGCCGACTCAGAACTGAGTTGGCGGCCTTAGAAGTCGATTGATGCCCATAATGTATGAAAGATGTATAAGATTGTAAGGTTTGTATGAAGCATCTACCTGAAAGTTGGAGAAAATGCTTTTCAACGTGTGAAAATGTCTAAGCTCTGTCTGTCTCGGTCTCTTTCTGTTTGTGTGTCAAACTGTACTAATTAGCTCATCTCAATCAGCTCTGTGATCCAGCACGGTCCGCTGTTCTCCAGTCATTTCTGCTCTCGGTTTCCATGGGATTCAATGTGGCAGCTCCCGGGCACTTACAGGTTAGCACACCTTGGACTTAATAGAGCAGTGAATAGTGCACAGTGTTGACTCAAGGCAGGTTTGACTCGAAGACATCACGCCATCAAACACGGCCCTTCGTGGTTGCTCTGTGCAGAAGGTTTTTGCCTGTCCGTGCACAACCGCTACGCACATGGGCGGAGAAAGTGGAGAACTGTGAGGAGCTTTGAGAATGTTGGTTTGCTGCGAGGAGAAACGTGCAGGGAGTATAAAAGATCCATACATTTCCTCCTCGCGATCCTGCGTCAGCTCATGGCGTCATTAGACGGGACGGATAGCAAATCAAGGATGTTATATTTTCTTACAGCGTATGGACAGTTGAACAACTTTATAATGTGTGTGCAACAGACTCAGCTTTAGTGGAAGTGTATTCTCTCTGAAGGAGAGATACGGCATTCAAATGTTACTCTGCAAATATAGTTTCTTAATTGGCCGTGTTCTGTAGAAGTCTTCTCTTTAATTATTGCTTAGTCCCGCTCTGCACCGGATTTGCGACGTTTTTCAGCTGAGATGAAAGGGACAGAAAATATTTTAGCGATTGCAAAATAGAAAAACCTGTGCAAATATGCAACATTTATTAACAAACACAAGTTTACAGGGTCCAAAAACCATAATATGTACATAGAAAGGACTTCAATGAATACCTTTCAATGCTTTCATGTCACTAGTGTCCACTTTTACTGTTATTGATGTCATTTGTTAAAGGTTCTCTAGCCACTGGTTAGCTCACAGCCGGCGCTCTGCACTGTGCTCAATCCGTCGCCGTCGTCACGGAAGCTTGGCACCCTCCCTCCGGTTCCTCCTCGGGCTAATACTCCGTTACTGCTCTTGCCGTTGTTTGCACTGATAGCCATGTTAGCACTGTTAGCTGTGAGTGGCAGGGTCAGCCTTCGCCATGTTAAGAGAGCCACGTGGAGGGAATGGATATTTTCTGAATTTCTCATTGAGCATTAAAGTTCACGGACGGTACAGATCATAAAGTAGCCAGTTACTGTGGAGGTAACCGGCAACGAGAGAGAGAGAGAGAGAGAGAGAGAGAGAGAGAGAGAGAGAGAGAGGATGGCACAGACTTTTGTTGGCTGGTGAAATCAAATGTGTGTGTGGGCCAAGAAGTCTTGAGTTAGTTGATTGGGCATGAACTGAGTGAGTGGACTGGATCTGATCCAAGGTAAGTGCTCTGAACCAGTCTGACAGGTGAAGGATTGCAGGCTTTGACAGGGAAGAGATGTAGCGGTGGTCTCCCAGGGCTAACGGGGCGCCTGCTGCCAGCCAGGAGGCGTGTGGAGTAGGTGTGTGGAGTAGGCTGGAGCCAAGTGAGCAGTAACGAGAGCGTGAGATGAAGGTGCTCCACGAGCTGACAGCGATGGCAAATAGATTAGCGAGGAGGAGTAATCGTATACAAAGTGCCAGCTAAAGTCTGCAAATGTGTGTTCCTTTCATTGACTCATTTGGCGCGTTTCATGAGGCCAGTTATTTTATCCTGCCGCCTCTGGATGTTGAACATTTGAAGCGGTTTGCAAAGAAATCTTCTCCGCCCCCCCCCCTCACCAATGCAGTGGATCCAGATGGAGCTGCATGAACTCGCATTGCCTCTAGTGATGTCACGTGAGTCGGAGTCGGTTATGGCCGAAGACTGCAAGTTTGAAAATTAGAAAAAAGACTGGGGGGTGTGGAGTTGATTGAGTGAGCTCACCAGAGCGCTCCTCATCTCTGCTTCAGACTAGC